TACTTTGCTGTACTTTCTGAAAAGGAAAGTCCTGGCAGCTTAGCACTGCCTGCCTGCCTTATAGACATTTGTTTAATAAGGCTGAGAGTCTGACTGGGAAACAGACTCTGCTTTTCTGGGCAGGAAGGCCAAGGAGATGTATGGGTAAAGCCCACAATGTCATCTTTTACTTCAAATGCTTCCCTGATCAAAGATACAAATACACTTCATAAACATTTTAATAAACATTGACGATCCTGTTCTGAGGCAGATATTTAAGAGGTTCAGTACTGAAGTAGTTCAAGTAGGGAGCTGTGTCAGCATGCGCAGGCTGCAGAGGAACACGTAAAGGTGTATTCCAGGCTGAAAAGAGAAGAAAAGAAACACAACATTTCGGCGAAGGAGGCCCCACAGCTGAAACGTTGTGTTTCTTTTCTTCTTTTCAGCATGGAATAACCCATGGCTTGTGGAAAGCTTGTTGCTCACTCCCACCACCCTTTGCGTAAATACGTTGTGGTTCTGACAAAAATAACAACTCTTGACACAGGATCTGCCAGAGGGATAAGCACATCAGGAGTGTGTATTGGGGAGTCAGGGATAAGAAGCTTGTCCCAGGCTCGTCTTCAGGGACACAACTCAGGAATGTGTATAGGCGAGACAGGAGTACAATACATATCTTCTTTACGTTATGTAGCTATAATGTATCTGTTTATGACCACTGTACAGGCTTAGGCTTGAAAAATGAACTAAGTGCAAAAAACAGGGAGAAACACATGACGTCCCACCCTGCTCTCCTGGTGACGCCTCATGTCTGACGCACGTTGCTGGTGTAGACTGCAGCTGTAGTGTCAAAAGCAAAGTTTGTGTAGATCTGTGATAGCTGCTACAACTTTGAAATCCTGGACTCAAACAAAACAGACATATCTGATAAAAGGAAGCTGCACCGGACAAAAGCTGTGGACAACGTTTAGAACAGAAATACTGTACATGTGTGAGACTATTCCTTTAGAAACTGTCCAAGGTGGAGTCTTACAGAGTGCCACATCTGGGTCGAAATTTTGGCTGTGCGTGATGAGTTGGATGGGGTTTGATACTGACACCCAGAATGAACCTCCACACATTTTGCGGAAAAAAAAAATGTTGCAAAAAGTTGTGGCAGCGCTGAGCCTTCTCAAGTGTTCTCAAGGCACGAAAACGCCACAGGCCAGCCTGAAGAGGTAACACACGGATGTCAGAAATCAGCTATTCCTGGACTGCAGCGTACTGTGAGTCAGCTTGGGTCTGTATAGGAACAAATATTAAGAAGATTTTCTCTAGGTGATGACTCTTAGGAACAGCACTGCTGTAGGAATGTTTTCAAATGAAGCAGTCATTTTCTCCTGTTTGCCCTATAGATGTTTGCGAATTATGGAAGCCACCTAAATATTGTCAATCCGTCTCTGGGAATCTCTATCGTACTATGCACAGACATTTCATGTGTAAAATTGACTTTACCATTTTTATGACAAAAGGCTCACATTCTAAGATGGCTGCACTCTTGCTGACGCATTGCAAAAGTATTTTATTTCTATGAATGTCTTCATTGTAATGGGTGGGCAAAGGAATGATAGTTGCAGCTGGGTTATTTCATGATTCCGATTTTTAATTGCTTTTCTCCTGTCCTCCTTGTGCTTCTTCAGCAGCGCCCTATCAACAGAGCTCGTACAGCGGAGGCCGCAGCACCTCGGCCATTCACTGCTTCCGCTGCCGAGACGTGTGTAAGGGGGAGGTGGTGAGGGTGCAGAATGTCCACTTCCACGTCAAGTGTTTCACCTGCCAAGGTAGGACCCCTGGTTTCTTTCCTGTGGCACTAGAGTTGTCATACCTCAGTGTGCCAGGCAGGACCCCTGGCCGCTTTCTTATGGCACTAGAATGGTCATGACTCTGCATGCAGGTAGGACGCCTGGCCCCTTTCCTGTGATACTAACATGGCCATGGTTAAATACAGGTAGGACACCTGGCCCCTTTCCTATGGCACTAACATGGTCTTGACTACATATGGGTAGGACCCCTGGTCCCTTTCCTGTGACACTAACATGGTCATGTCTACATACAGGTAGGACACCTGGCCCCTTTCCTGTGACACTAACATGGTCATGTCTACATACAGGTAGGACCCCTGGTCCCTTTCCTGTGACACTAGAATAGTCCTGACTCTATGTGCCAGGCAGGATCCCTTGCTCTTTTCCTATGGCACTAGAATGGTTATGACTGCCTACAGGTAAGACCCCTGGGCCATTTCCTGGTTCACTAGAATGGTCATGACTACATACAGGTAGGACCCGTGGCCTCTTTTATATGGCATTAGCATGGTCATGACTCTGCATGCTAGGTAGGACACCTGCCCCCTTTCCTATGGCACTAGAATGGTCATGATTCAGCTTCAGGATGTCGTTGGCTCCCTGTGCTCTGGTATTTGGTCAGCGAGATGCTGCTGGGGTTGGATCAGCTTTATTTGGCCAGGGTTCACTTGGCTCTCAGCTTAGCAGTAATCCTGCCAGACGCCTGCAAGCTTTCAGCAACATCACAGAGAGATTTTGTAGCATTTAATATTCATACACTTGGTCATTCCCACACCAGTTAATGGCATATACAGATGCAGAGAAGTGATTGTAATCAATTTCCGAAACAATATACAGTATGATTCAGACCAGGTCAATCAATTCAAGCAGTAATGCCCAATTTCCTGTCCATTGTGTTTATCTTGTTTGTGGCAAATGCTTCGCTCTTCTAGTTAAGACTACTGATTCTCCTTTCATTGAGGCAGCAGTTTCCTTTTAATAGACTCCCGAGTCCTTACATTAGCCCAGGTATCCAAGGTCAGCTTCTGCACTAATTGTTCTTAATTAATTGGGGATTTGTCGTGGGTTTAAAACGGTTCAGCTGTTCAACTTCTTTGCACTTTCAGAACCAGGAGCAGCAGCTTAGTGAGGACTGTATGTATTAGGAGGACAGAGAGGCAGAATAAAAGAGACTCAAAGGATTAGAAAGGTGAAGGTCGGGTTTGTGATTTGACAAAAAAAAGAACAGCACTGATTTCCTTCATTCGTGCGATATCACACATCATAAAATCTTGTAATAGATTTAAGTGGCACAGGATATGTGTGCAAATAAATGGGCATGATGATGAAGCTGCTGGTGTTACTGTAGCTTGGCAGTTTCCTCTTGCACGCTGCCTCTGTGAGTTTCTCTGTGAGTGCACGGCGTATGGGTGTCTGCTGTATGCCAATTTTGTCCCAGTGGGGAAAGCTGCAGCCTCCTGGACTCTATCTATCTGGACAAGATAGAAAAACGATGATGGGCATCTGGAGGCTGTATAACAGGTCTAGACAAACTGGTTTTAAAAAAAGACATTGGTATTCCACGCTCCGAAGAGTTGGCACAACGTGAGCAGAGATTGAATCCCTAACGTCCGGAAGATGTCTTTTGGTCAAAAATGGCTTTTGGGCCCGAGAGCAGCCATCCTATTGGTCCTTGTAAAACAGACGTGCTTTTTTCATTTAGTGCCACTAATGACAACATTAATCATCTGCAGATCCCCTGACTCTCTCCAAGAATGAGTCGCATAACAAGTGTGCGCCAGGGGAAAGGTTTTGTAGTTTTTTTTCTCTCTATCTCTCTGAACGGTATTTAACTCCCCAGCATCAGGCGTAAAGAAACATGCGCCGTGCCCACTGTGTGTTTTGAAACAAATGGGTGGTAAGGAAGCTCTTTAAAAGCACAAGTTGTTCGGGCTGCAAAGCATGCCGAGGAGAACTCCTAGTCTGTGATTTATTCCTGAGGAGGACTCATCCCCATTGAAAAGGCTCCACCTCTGCCCGCCCCTCTCTGGAATCGGCAGCCTCCGTTCACACACGTGTTTTGCTGTGTTGCATGAGAGGGTTGCTGTGGCAACCCTGCAAAGGGGCATCCTCCCCTGGGTGGTGGCTATTCTCAGCAACACATTCCAGACAGCAGCCAATGGGAACTCCTCCTGCCGGGCTCCGAAAACAGGGGGGGGTCCGTGTCCTTCCCACTATTGTGACATCATGAGCTCTTTGGCGAGATGAAGCCCAGAGCTTAACAGAAGTCACACGGTCTCTCCCCCTCTGCCTCGTTCTGCCACCCTTCACGCCCTCCTCTCCCCAGGAGGTAAAACTGGCAGATTCTAAAGGAGGGGGGCACAGAGAAACACCTGGGCTCTCTTTCAGAGGCCTGTGCGGTTTGCTGGCGGCACCATGTCACTTACAGTATGTCCTTCATGTCCAGTATGTCTGTTAGGCTGGTTCCCACAATGCATTGTGGGATGGGTGTCCTTCCCACTATGGTGACATCATGAGCTCCTTGACGGGATGGAGCCCAGAGCCCCAGCAGCAGAACCTAACAGAAGTCCCCTCCGCTTTGCCAATGTGGAGGAAACAGCACACGAGCTGGCCCTCCTGAGCCAACTGCTTGACTGCAGGCGCTTGCTGTTTCCAGGGTCGCTTGGTGCCCGGGGCCTCAGCTGGTCACTATTGGACCTGCATCTGTGACAGGGCTCACGCACTGAGCCGGTTCCAGAAGTGACGTCACCCCTCTGAAACCTAGACAGCTCAGAGCCGCGCTATAGACACGGATCCCGTCTTTCCGCATGGCGGAGTTGTCCACTGTCCAATGCTCGTCAGCCATCATTAGACACACTCCCTGGCTGTCTCAAGCGAGAAGACAGCACTAATGGGAAGCTGTCAATGGGTTATACAGGGATTCACGGCAGACCAATGCAATGCTCTTGAACTTGCTCTTGAACTTACGTCTGCAGCGGAGCGGGCCAGGAAATGAAAACTGCTGATTGCGGTCTGTTGTTGTTGGGCCACACCTGTCAGAGCCCTGGTCTGTGAAATCATAGTAATAATAATTCCTTACACTTATATAGCGCTTTTCTGGACACTCCACTCAAAGCACTTTACAGGTAATGGGGACTCCCCTCCACCACCACCAGTGTGCAGCCCCACCTGGATGATACGACAGCAGCCATAGTGCACCAGAACACTCACCACATACCAGCTAATAGTGGGGAGGAGAGCAGAGTAATGAAGCCAATTCATAGATGGGGATTATTAGGAGGCCATGATTGGTAAGGGCCAATAGGAAATTTGGCCAGGACGCCGGGGTTACACCCCTACTCTTTTCTACAAACGCCCAGGGATTTTTAATGACCTCAGAGTCAGGACCTCGGTTTTACATCTCATCTGAAGGATGGCGCCTGTTTACAGTATAGTGTCCCCGTCACTATACTGGGGCATTCGGACCCACACAGACCACACGGTGAGCGCCCCCTGCTGGCCCCGCTAACACCTCTTCCAGCAGCAACCTTAGTTTACCCCAGTCGGTCTCCCATCCAGGTACTGACCAGGCTCACACCTGCTGAGCTTCAGTGGGGCTGCCAGCTGTGAGTTGCAGAGTGATATGGAACACCAGCTGTGTGGATTTACTGATTTATGCTATTCATTCATTTCTCTAAAGTCCTTGATTTCTCCTATTCACAAAGAACATAAGAAAGCTTACAAATGAAAGGAGGCCAGTCGGTCGCTCAGGCCCTTTAAGAAGTTAGTAGTTAATTAAGTTACAGTAAGTACCTCATCTACCCATCACGTGAAAGAAATCAGCTTCTTCCCAAATTACTGAAGAATAAAACTGACTGAGAGTCGTATTGCAGCATGAGCAATTATTGATGGCACATTTTTTCTGTAGAGCAGAATTTCTCTGCAGCGTGTGAGAGGCAACAGGAGGGAGGAGAACAGGAAGTTTCGTCACAATGGGCTTCCAGAACAAAATATCTGACTGTTAAGGAAATAAGTTGAATTTTAAAGTCAACAGTGTGAGCTACCTGTGACTGTCGGTACATTCTGTGCTAGGAACTTCACTCAAAACTCTTAAAGCACTTTACCCAGGAAATGTGTATGCATTAAATTGTAATGTTCTCTTTGACTTTTTTTCTCAAATAATAGTGCGGACCTTTGTGTTCTGGAAGATTCTTTCCATTGTGTCCAAAGAATACATTTGCTGTCTGGAAAAAAAAAAAACTTTTTCTGTGGTATGTATTGTGTGAATTTGTGCACACTCTGCAGAATGAGTTCTGTTATCAGTATCTAAATAGGCGAAGTAGAATGAGGTTTTATTCCCTCGAAAAATACAGGAAAGGTCTGTTGAGTCTCTTTTTATTTCTTAAACTGGATATTATATTGAACTTGGCTCCACATTTGTAGTCCCCAGCAGCTGGTTTTTGATGGGTTAATTCAATTAAATGAGACTGATTGTAACGAACAGTTCTTTCTGACCCTATGCGGACGACACGATCCAGGGAAAAGTGAGGAAACACTAGGAAAAAGAGCGTGCTGGAATACGGGGATGAAAACAGGGGGGGCGTGTCCAAAGTGCGCAGGTGTCAAGCGGAGTGAATCCGGGGCAAACAATCCAAAAACACAAGAATAAATCTAGGCCAGGTGATCCATCCAACAAGGGATTAAAAACATGAACCGGGTCGGAACCGGCGGGAGGGGAATGGGAACAGAGATTAAAACCTTAGCGGGACCAGGCGCTTCCAGGTCCCGGACTCGCACGATACAGAGATCAGATGCAGAGCCCGGATGAACGTCAGCGCCTGGCTTTTAAGGTGGACTGGGAACAGGGGACAGGTGCACATAATCAAGTCTGAAGTGAAAGGGCCGGAGCACCCTTAAGGAGGAGGGACTATAATCGTGACACTGATTGGGTTCTTGTTTCAGATCAGGGGTTACAGATTCCTGGACTCTGATCTAGCTGA